TTTTTCAACGGCACTGTTAATGAGCTCATGAAGGTCATTTTGCTTGTCTATTAACGCTTCTTGATTTGCTGACATGATAAGGTCAAGAGAAAGTCACAAGAATCACAAAAGAGTCAAATGAAGGTCGGCACCTTTTTTTTTTAATGTTTCACACGCCCGATCCGGCTCGAAGGAACAGTATGTTTTGAACGATGATTCTTAAATAAATCGGACGAGTTCTTTTTCATTAAAAATTCAATTAGTTTTATTTTAAATTTAAAGATTTTACCGACTTGTACATGAGAGAAAAAAAACCATTCATTCTCAAAAAAGATAATACAACGAACTGACAATTGGCGAAAAGTATATAAAGAGAGAATAGCAAAGAAATGAAATCTTATCGTTAAGTTTACAGTGTTGCCAAATAATACAATTTAGTATTTTTCTATTATAAATTTAAGTTGACGAACTTACATCAAGAAATTATTAGTAAATTAAAGTGTTGTATTTTTGCAATATGATTTTTTGTCTAAACATTCCGCCCGCCTTGTCACCTTACAGGGGACGAAATATATAACTTAAATTAGATTAAGCAGTCGATAATGTTGAGCTTGTAGCCAGTACTGGAAGCGGGCACAGTTTAACTACTGGACGCTTTAGCGTTCAATCCTTTGTTCTGACAGTTACTACGCGAATATGTCCATCATTTCCAGGATGTGTATCGATGATACGGCCAAGCAGCCATTTCGCTGGAGGAAATCTTTCATCCACAAGCAGCACAAGCGCTCCCTTCTTTATTGGATCTGTTGCCTGCTTCCACTTAGATATTGAATAAAAGCGTTGAATGTATTCCGAAGACTAACGATGCCAAAAGTGCTCAAGCATTTGCCTAAGCAATTGCCATCGAGAAAGTCGTGAGACTGCAATGTCTATCAATGATGGCTCTGGCACAGTGGTGAGTGCTGAGCCGATGAGAAAATGCCCTGGTGTTAACGCATTGATGTCGTTTGGATCATCGGATAGTGGGCATAACGGTCGGTAGAGTGGAAAATTCTTCATAAGTAAGAGAGGTGTCTCCAATGATACGTTTTAAATGGAACTTGACCGACTTCACGCCAGCTTCCCATTTTCCGCCGAAGTGTGGAGCTGCAGGTGGGTTAAATCTCCATTCGGTTCCATCATTTGCTAGTAAGGAGGCGAGGTTAGATAACTCATTTGATGCCCGCGAAAAGAGTTTCCGCAGCTCGGCGTCAGCGCCTATCAGATTAGTACCGCAGTCACTATGAAGAGTTGCGCAGATTCCTCGGCGCCCAGTGAATCTTTTATAAGCTGCCAAAAAACCTTCTGAAGAGTAGTCTGTCGCGATTTCGAGGTGAATAGCTGAGGTAGCAAAGCATACAAAAAGCACAATATACCCCTTATACGTTTTCGCAGCTCTTGCTCTTGAAGTTTTTAAAGTAAACGGGCCAGCATAATCTACGCCAGAAATTAAAAATGGTCTTGCTGGTGTGATTCGGGTTGGTGGTAGCTGTCCCATGAGTTGTTGGGCGGTGACAGCGCGATATCGAGCACAGCGAACGCAGCGTAAAATGAATGATCGCACAGGAGATCTACCTCCAATAATCCAGTATGATCTTCGCAGATAGTCTAAGGTAACTTGTGTTCCTCCATGAAGAGTTTTATGATGCGCATTGCTTATGATTAGAGTTGTCAGTGGTGATTCGCGAGGTAAAATTACGGGGTGTTTTGTATCAGGATCGAGGAGAGCGTTTCCGAGCCGCCCGCCAACTCGAAGCATACCTGAGGCATCTATAAATGGAATTAATTTGTTAAGAGGGTTTGTATTTGATAAAATGCGATTTTGGGAGAGCGTTAAGATCTCCTTTGAGAAATAAGCCTGTTGAGTTAGCTTCACCCAATAAAGTCGGGCCGTTTCAAGCTCAGTTGGCGTTAAAGATGATTGTTTGGGTATTTCAGCTTTCCTTTGCAGTATTTTAATCGCACGTTGGCATAGCGCTGTGATTCTCAGTAATTTAGTAAGATTTGAGTAACGTTCAACGAGATTCCAGATCTTCGGGTTTTAAGGAGAGACAACAGCAATGACCTGAAGTTTTTTTTCAAGGTCGACATCATGCTCACGCTTGTAACCGCATGACGGCCATAAAGAAGGATGTTGAGAAAGCCATTTTGGTCCAGTCCACCATAGACAGTCTTTTTCTAGTTGATCAAGTGACACACCTCGAGAGGCGCAGTTTGCAGGATTCTCCTTACCAGAGATGTGATGCCATGTTGCTTGAGGTAGAGTTTCTTGGATAGTGGCAACACGATTTCGAACATAATCTTTCCACCGTGATGGATGAGCTTGAATCCAGGCGAGAGTTACTGACGAATCAGTCCATAAATGGATTGGTGCTTGCGATATATTTAGCACTTCTCCAAGGTGAGCCACTTGTTTTGTAAGTAGAGTTGCAGCGCAAAGTTCAAGCCTAGGAATCGTCATTTTCTTGATTGGGGCAACTTTTGTTTTTGCTGTAATGAGAGAAATTGTAGCATCATTCGTTTCGTTAAGTACACGAAAATAAACAACAGCTGCCATAGCGTCTCGAGAGGCATCGGAAAAGCCATGTATTTCCAAAGTGAGCATGTTTGCAGAGGTTCCGATCCAACGAGGAATGGAGATGTGAGAGATATCTTGAAGTTGATTCCAGGACTCCCATTGAGGAGTCTTGATGTTGAAGAGGTATGACGCGTGATTAAGAGATCAGCCAAGATCGTTGAATCATTCGCTGTCCATTTAAGTAGGTTGAAACCACCTGATTTGCAAAGGTTGTCTAGCTGTTGAATCACCTCCTTTGCATCTTGAGGGGAATCCGCTCCGCCAAAGCAATCATCCACCTAAGTCCCACGTAGTAAAACATCTGTTGCGAGGGGAAAGCGATGTCCTTCATCTTTGGTTAATTGCTTAATTACGCGGTTTGCTAAGAAAGGCGCTGGACCAAGTCCGTAAGTAACAGTGGCCAACTGATATGTTAAAGGCTTCTGAAATGATTCTGGTGACCAAAGAATTCTCTGAAAACGCTGATCATCTGGATGAACCAAAATCTGCCGAAACATCATCTCCATGTCGGCTGAAAAGACTTGCGAAAATTGTCGCCACCACAAAATCACATCGGATAAGTCTGTCTGCAGCTTGGCACCGATGTGAAGGAGATCATTCAGAGAACAGCCACTACTTGTGCGACGTGACCCATTAAAAACAACTCGCAGCTTAGTAGAACTGCTAGATTCTTTAAGAAAGCCGTGATGTGGCAAGTAGTAATACTGTTGTGGTTCAGGGATGCTTTCTGGTACGCGTATCATATGACCCAGCGACTCAAATTCCCTTAAAAAGTCAGAGTATAGAGATTTTAACTTGTGATCACATGAGAAGCGTCTTATCATGCTAGACAGCATTCGAGA